CAACCCTGCCGGGGGGGGGCCCCTCAGGGGCTGGAGCAGTCCCCTGCCCAGAGAAGGCAGGAAGCTGCTCCAGCCCCTACCAGTTAACCAGAATGCCTCACCCTTAACGGGTGAGGCTTATCGTTTAATTGGATAACCATTTACGTTCCTAGTGGCTTGTAAGGCAATAATTTAGATTACTTAGCTGACAGTATGGAACAGTGCTATTTCCTCATTTCATACTGAATGCTAATTAAAGAAAAGAGCTTACTTCAGTGCTTAAACTGAGCACTCAGTATCTGGGTTTTAACAATTTTTTTTAGCCTAAAACCCCTGTCTGTGAACTTACTCATGGAAGGTGCCGGATTGACAGTCATGGAAAGAGAATTGTTGTACTTATTGCTGCCTCAACTCCCCTGAGCACTGATCTGTGGGGTACCACAGAGGCAAAAGGATAATTCATAATCCTACTATACTGATTGTTGGCCTCTGCTTAACACTTAATTCATATGCTAGCTAGTTTCAGCTATGATGGCTGTTTGTTTTTTTCTAAAATACAGTTCACTTATGTATCATCCTGTACATCTCTGATATAGCAATTAAACTGGAGTCTTAATTATGGAGTCCCACCAGAGGAAGGTTCTAGAGCCCCCGCTCATCTCAGCCCAAAATTTTGTTGCAGTTTTAAGTCCCACAGGCCCAACTCAGCTGACCCAGTCCAGCCCCAGCTGTCAGTGAGTCTTACATTCCAATATAAACATACCTGTATGTCAAACACTTGTCGTCACTACTAACCTGGGCTGCATTTGACATAGGCATTTAGAGAGGCTCTATATTCTGGATTATTAATTTGTCCTGTACTCTCATTTACTTTTCTGTAGCTTTGTTGAAGTGAATAGAATCTGTATGCATAGAGACTATGAAAAAATTAGTTGTTAATGATGTTGTGCCCTCAGTTAGCTTCTAAATGTTTGTGAATATATTGTACATTTGCTTATTTTGTTCATATTTACGTAACACGGACTCTTTTACTTGGTTCTTTTATTGAGACTCATTACTATAGCATGAGGAGAATGTATATAAATTAAGATATACTTTTACTACTAGAATTCTTGGACTGTTAAGCATATACCTTCCTCATGATTATCTTAATTTTGTGCATTTCTGACTTGAAATATAAAAATTTGAAGTACCAATAGAAGTTCATTTTCTGTTTAGTGGATTCATGGCACAATCCTTATGTCAAATGACTTCACTGAGCACATGATATGTTTTAATAATGCAGAGAGGAATGTGTAACAGGGTTTATGATGCTTGGAATTAAGAAAAAGCGTGAATGCTCTTAGTGAGATGAGTTAAGGTAAAGGGACTTTTATGTCTTTTTAAAATGATGGTAGTTATAGCTATTTATTGTGAAATATATTATTTAAATTGTTTTTATTTTGTATTTGTATAATTAAGTTTATGGTATAAAATGAAAGTATTACTCCAGAAGTAAGAAGTTATATTTAAATGATGTAAAAAATATTTTAGTTCATCTTCAAAAGACATTCTTTGACTCCTGGCACTCCTTTTTAGGATTTCCAGTATCAAAGGGAAACGTTGATATAAGAAAAATGTTAAAAGAGAACAAAAAATTGTGGTACTTTTAACATTTGGACTGGAATGTTGGGTCATAAAGTAATGAAGCAATCATTTATTAAGGGGAACTATTTTTTTGTATTGTGTGTGGATTTATTTTAAAGGAAGTGCTTTCTTGTTAATGCACATTAAAATTGAACTAGAAAAGAAGCACCGTTGTGTTTTTGGAGTTAGACAACAAAATACTATTACATTTTCAACCTACTAGTAAAATTGAAATATGAAAAGTGTCATTTCCTGAGTGTTTTGGGAGCGCCTAAAAAGGCATCTACAGAAATTTAGGTTAGTCTTTTACTGTTACTTGATTACTTGCTCTAAATTCACAATATAGGTTAGAAACTGCCTTGTGAGGTGGTGTTAATTGCATATTAGAACAAGACGATTCTTAATGGGAGATGAGACTTATTTCAGTTCAGGGTAGTAGCCATACACCTAGCTGTGTGTCAGATAAATATTATACAAATACACAAGTGTTGGAACACTTCTAGTATTGTTGCTTAATTTTGGTCAGCATCAGTTATGTAAACTTGTGCTTTTCGGTAGCTTCTAGTGGTGATGGGAAACTACTATGATGATCCCTCATTTTTATGCTTTTCACAAAGCACACTCTCAAGCCCTACCTCTACATATGTTTTTTGGTTGGTGGATAGGCAGGCAGGCAGAGGGAGAAGAACATTTACATGTCTGAAGCCTTCAACAAATGCTTTCCTTTGACTGCATGGTAATGACCAAAGTAGTACAGTATCCAAGAAATTTTCTCCTGCTATCATCTTTCTCGAAGGTAAACATTTTTTAATACTGAATTTATTTTATCTGTGTAGATGCATTTTGAATGATACAGAAAATATAAGCAGTTTAACTGAGTATTTCTTAATGAGATAGTAAAAGAACCTGAGTTTTTCTTTTCTCTATTACTTTGCACATGATGCACTGTTATGTTGGCTGATGGTATGATAATCAGCAGAACATGTGAAATTACTAAAAATAGTCCAACCTCAACATAATTGTGTAGGGCATCACATTATGGGATTTTTCCTAAACTTGGAGTCAAAGTCCAATTGAGGACAAAGGTATCAGTAGCTAGACGTTTGCTGTTTCTATTCCATATACATGACCTCTGCAGAGGGACAAGTTATGATTTTAAGAGGGACAAATTGAGTGAATAGATAGCACAAAAAGTTAATGAAGTGCCTCTGTAATAGGCCGAGTAGAATAAAATAATCTGTTATGCATTTTAATACATATAGAAATCAGAAAAAATGGTGTGTTACACTCAGGAGCTGAGCACCACAGGGGACAATGTTAAGCATTTTTTTTATTCCAGTGAACATTGAGAGAGCTCAGCACTTCTCAGGGTCAGACTTACATTTAATAACTAAACTAAACTGTTGATGAATGTGTGCTTACATTAAGATTTTTTATGGGTCACATTTGTTAGCATAAAGATTGAACACGGTGAAGTGATCTTAAATAAAAGAAAGTTGTCATCTATTTTTATCATGATTTAAATTAGCAAAGCAGGAAACATTGATTTAAATAATCAATTTCAATCAAGTTTTACCTTTGTACTTTTTAATTATTTTCCTAAAGAAAGGAGTACTGAAACTTCCTACTTTTTATCTTAAGCTAAAATTCTTGCAAAATAAACTATTCCAACATTTTTAACTTTTAATTCTTCACACCCGCAAATCCATCTGCTGATGCACAGAATCCACATTTGCCATATAAAATAGCTAATTATGTGTACAAATACTAATTTGTGGATGTAAATGTTGCCGAGGCCTGTTGAAAATTTTGTTCTTTTATGGTAACTGGCTTTACTTTTAATCTTTAGAGGTAGAGTTGTCATCTCCGTCCGAGGCAGCAGCCTAGGGTGGCAGGCGGGACCTGGCCCATGAGGGGAACTGGTTTAAAAACCAACTCCCTGTGTGTAGTTCAGCTCCCACTTGCCACCCTGCCCCATGCTGCTACCTCTGATACAGAGGCAGCAGCGCAGGTTGGCAGCAGCCACTGTATGCAGGGCACCCAAGCTCAGACCCTCTGCAGACAGGGGCTGCTGCCATGGACACAGGCTGCTCTGTGGGATGTGGAGCAGCCTCTGTCCGCAGCAAGTCTGAGCCTGCCGCAGACAGAGGCTGCTCCACAGCAGCCTTCTGTGCCCACCTCCTCCCTCCTGTGCTGATGCCTTTTGTAGAGGAGGCTCCGGCCTGTCCCCTTCCCCGCTGCCTCTGTAGGAGTCAGCAAAAGGGGGGACAGATGGGTCCATGGAGCCAGCACATGCAGAGAGCTGCTTTAAAAGCTGGCTCCTTGAGTGTTTCAGCTCCCACCTGCCCCCCCACCACCCTCTGCGCTGCTGCCTGTCTATCAGAGGCAGCAGCACAGGAGTAGTGGGGGGCACCGCCTCCCCCCTTTTTGCCTTTGATAGACAGCAAGGAGGGAGGATGCATGTAGTCAACGGAATTAACCGATAAGTCCGGGGTGTAGTCGTTTACTCGTTGACATCCCTAATGGAAAGTGAGGGGGCAGAGGGTGGAGGAATGTTAAAGGGAAGGACACAGAGAGTGGAGGGACACAATACTGAGAGTGGCCATTGGGGGCAAGTGAAACACCCAGGGTATGTCTACACTGCCACCCTAGTTCGAACTAAGGTGGCTAATGTAAGCATTCAAACTTGCAAATGAAGCCCGGGATTTAAATATCCCAGGCTTCATTTGCAAGTTCGAATGCCTACATTAGCCACCCTAGTTCGAACTAGGGTGACAGTGTAGACATACCCCAAGAGAGTGGTCAGCTGCGCTAGGGCTTCAGTGTCTTGCCTGATAGCACACTGGTAAGGAGCCCCCCTACCCCAAATCTGGAGCCTGCCCATCCCCCAGGAGAGCCTGCAGGCCTTGGGGGAGGAGGTGGGGGGGAGAGTGCTGCAGGAAGAAGCTTCGCCTCTCCCAGACAGCCTGAGGGCTGCAGAGGGACTATTGAGGGACAGCCCCCTGAGCCTCATCTTCCCCTTCCCCCCCTGCAGGAAGGGTCAACCCCCGGACACTCATCCCTCCAGACAGCTTGCATTTTGCGGAGGTGTTGCTTCAGAGCCTCATCCACCCCCAGAGCCTCATCCACACGTCTCCCAGATAGGCTAGAGGGGGGCAGCAGCCTCCGGACCTGAAGGCGGCGGGTGGAGAGAGCAACTGGAGTGGGCAGCAGTCTCCGGATGCTGCTGCCCCCAGTCAGCCTGCATGCCCGGGGGGAGGGGGGAGGAGGAGGAGGCTGCTGGGGGGTGTGGCAGTCTCCAGAGCCTCACTTGCCCAGACAGCCTGCAGACCATTGGCAGGGGAGGGTGGCTCTGGAGCCTGGTTTTCCTCCCTCGCCCCCCAGACAACCTGAAGGCTGCAGGTGGGGGAGGGGAGGTGCAACTGGAAAGGCAGCAGTCTGTAGACACTGTCCCTCCTCATCCCTCAACAGCTTTGCAAGCCGTGGGGTGGAGGGTGCTGAAGGGGGCAGTAGCCTCCGGAGCCTGGTCTTCCCCAGACAGGTTGTAGGGTAGGGCATCTAGTGGAGAGGGGCTGCTGAGAGGGGATCACTGACCTGGACCCCGGGAGGAATCACTGCCATAGCAGTACCACCCTCACCGCCATGGGTGGCCCCAGCAAACCTCCCTGCCACCTCCCTGCCCCCTGTCCCGAGCCGCCTCCTCTGATTCCTGTACCTTCCACCTGCTTTGACTTAAGCATTCCCACTCCCTACCATGAGCCCCCACACCCTAACCCTCTGCGCTAAGCCACCTCCCCTCTCCCCCCTCAAACTCTCTCCCTAGCCTTCATTTTCCTTCATTTTTGAAAAATAGTCATTTGAAATACAGTAACACACGTATATTTTTCATTTATTTTTCCAAAAATACAAATTCCTTCAGTTACAGACCCGAGCAATGCCAGGTACATCTGCTAGTATGCTGTATCTAATTATTTGAGCTGACAGAATTGTTATCTGGGTTTATTTAAGATCAGTTTTCTTGTGTGTTGTGAAGTATTTGGAATGCAGGGTGTCCCATTTTAATATTCTAAAATGTTCGTGGCATGTTTAGTTATGCAAATATGCTTCCTACATGCTCTAGGTTTTTATCAGATATTAATATAGAAAATACAGCTTTGGCACAGTTAATTAGTGGCCTGTTCTTGCACAGTGCTCCTCCTCTTGAGTTGCAGGACGTCAAATGAATGAGCATTACATAAATCTGCAACCAGTTGCACTCGAAACAAGGAGTGCAGGAAATTCAAGGAGATGGGTGAGAAATAAGAGTAAAATCAGATAAAGATATATAAAATGAATAGTTTGATGCATTTGTGGAAAAAAATTTTTTGTAATGATATATCCAAAAGTTTGTATCATCTAAGACTTGATATACTAAACTAAAATGTAAGTTGACTCATTTTAAATTAATTTCCTATAATGCTTTTCAGTAGTACTGCATTTCTTTCTTTTCTTTAGAATAACTAGGCACCGGTGCACTAGGTGTTAATGGTTAACCGTTTCCACAGTGCTTTCTCTGTAAAGTCACAATCGACTTAAAAAAAAAATCACACGTCTGCCAGACTTTCTACCAATGACTTCTATAGCTGAAAAATAGAGAATATTTTTCTTCAGTTTGTTTGCTGTGTGCATTTATTTAACATCACTCTTTATGCAAAGAACTTAGCTGACAGAAGAAAAATTTAATGTCTTACTTTTATAGTCCATTTAAGAACATTTCAAAATCTTTGTTAATTTGGTATATAATTGTAAATTTTATTTAAAATGAATATTAAGAAAGGTATCTTTTCTGTAAACTTCAATTT